AAAAAACCCGCATAGTAAAGAACATGACTACATATATGCATGACGAAATGGTAAAAAGCTATGAAACTTTAATCTTATATATACTTAACGGTATAGAGATAATTGAATTAAGAAGAATCATATGGGAAAAAATATTTGATGACTACGAATTAGAAGATATATTAAATCAAGAATGGTATGAAATAGATTTACAAGATCTATATTTAGATAATGAAAGAATAGAATGGTACGATTTAGAAATAAATTCAGATTAAAATGAATTACGAATATTTACAATATTGGATAGAAGCTATGGAAGATATAAAACTATTAGAACAATTAATGGAGGAGAATTTATATATGTACCGAAGAACCCAAGATATGTTATATCTAGAATATATCACAAATAATATTAAAGAAATATTCAGACTAAAACAACTATTGGAAAAATATTACAATAAATATTATTACATTTTACCATGAATTCCGCAAGATTAAGACACTTAACAAAAAATTATAATAATAAAACCTTTAAAATAAAATACTCACCTACCACACTATCACCTACCACACTACCACTTCCATGAATTCCTCAGCTACCAGTTCCGCACTGAAAATTTTCTGTAATATTTTTCAATATTACAATTTATTTTATAAATAATTCGAAAAGTTCAATAAGCATGTAAAATAGTGGGAGACAAAAAGTGGAAATAAAAGTTACTATTAAAGTAGTCCTCCTTGTCTTTATAGTCATTGGCTTTCCTACTGTCACATGCAGTAATACATATATAGAGCTAAGTCCATTATTTATTATTTATAGAGGACATCAGTTGAAGGAAGTAGCTCCATCACTTTGTTTTAAAATGGGAGAAGAGAAGGAGGTGATTTCTCATGTTATTTCCAGTCCTCCTTTTGAAGTTGAAGTTCCTCAAACTCTTCATCAGATTGGCCAAGGTTAATTTCTAATCATTTTGTATATATTCAACTTTTCTTCTAGTTAAGTATTCCGGATTAACAACGCCGATTCAAAATTATAGTTAAGGAATTTCTATAACAATTCCAATTTCCAAATCATATACTATAGTAATTGAGTTTGCAATCAAATATTTTATTTAAGGGAAAAGGGTCAAAAATACCCCTCAACTTTGGTTTATTAGTTGACTATACCCCTGCCGTTAAAACAAAGTTATTTATGCCCTTGTCGTTACCAATTTCACCATTTATACCCCTCAATTGACGGAAATACCCAAATTAACTCAAATTAACCAATTTTACTTAAATTACCTAATTCTAACCCGATCCGACCCGACCCACTTAATAATATAACCCATTTTTGTTCTATCTTGTTCATCTTCATCTTTAATGTTGGGTTCCTTTACAAAAACAAGTTGTAAACAATACATTTGAAAACACCCATCAAACAATTAGCAAAAACCACCTGCTCCATCCACGAACTCCAGCCAAGAGCGATCGCCACCAGTCCCCTCCCTTTTCCCCTTTTAGTTTCGCCGCCAGTCCCCTCCATTTTCCCCTTTTACATTTCGCCGCCAGTCCCCTCCCTTTTCCCCTTTTATATTTTCTTCTATTGTATGTGTTTTTGGCTCCAACTCCGGTGAACAATGACCATGAACTCCAGCGAGGCTCTGCAAATCAGCAGCCACCACAACCTCTCTCTCAACGCCAAAATCAGCAAACCCATTTCACGAACCAGTTAACAACACCAACACAACTCCACGACCGAGCTTCACCCCCATTTTCCGATGACCCTCTATTTTCTTTCCATTCTTATATTTTATGATGATTTATTTTTCTTTACATTTTTCACTGTATTCTCTGTGTTTCAGATTTGGTTAGGGAGTTCAAGCTCCAATAATTTTTTCATTCATATTCATTGTTCAAGTTTGTGTATTGCTATTACACTTTGTTGTTGATTATTTTAATTTTTGGTTTTGATATTATTGTATTTTTGGGCACTGTTACCGCTTTTGCTTGTTAATTTGTTATTATGTTGGACTTTTTTTTAATTAATTTTAAAAGTTGAAGATTAACAGAAATGAAGATGAACAAAAATGGGTTTATATTATTTGGTGGTTCGAGTTGGGTCGGATCGGGTTAGAATTGGGTAATTTAAGTAAAATTGGTTAATTTGAGTCAATTTGGGGATTTTCGTCAATTAAGGGGTATAAATGGTGAAATTGGTAACGGCAAGGGCATAAATAACTTTGTTTTAACGGCAGGGGTATAGTCAATTAATAAACCAAAATTGAGGGGTATTTTTGACCCTTTTCCCTTTATTTAACAAAGTTATTAATATATATACAATTTTTGAACAAAAGCTACAGATTCACTTGAACCCACAGACAATAGGCTAGAGCTTAAATTCATTATCTAGAGGAAATACATATCATCTTAAATTCTTAATCAATATTATTCTAAACCCTTGACCCTATATATACTAGATTCTATGTTCACAGGATTTTACTCTTGAAAAGCTCATTCGTTGGATGAATCATAACTTTTACAAAGTATAGTCTTTATAAGAAGGATCAAAGCGCACTGAACGAACCTATTGATTCTTGCCAATCATAACAACCAGAATGGGTTAGCCTTTGTTTTCCCCATTGGCGAAGTCATAAGTTATGGTGAATTTGTGTCGCTACTATATATAAAATGTTTTCCATAGGTCAATAGAAAAAAGCATGTTGAATATATATATATATTGTAGGATAGTGGTCGTGAAAGTCAAGATTTGCTGAGTGTGTAAGCCCCGATGAGTTGGAAGGCCCGACTATCGCTGTAAAACCTTAGGGATGAGTGTAGCAACCGGCAGTGCAAATCTTTGTGGTAATAGCAAATATACAAATGAGAACTCTGAAAGTTAAAGAGAGGAAAATTTCCATGTGAACGACACTTGCATATGGAATGATTAGTTGATGCTAAGGGTTAGTGAAACCCAACATATACCGCGTTCCGCGCATACTCCAAAAGGGAAGGGTTCAAACTCCTGAATCGAGAAGTGGTGGTTGACAACAATGTTAGGAAGTCAGGAAACATCGGTGGGAGCCTCGGGAAGAGCTATACTTTTTACAGAGAAGAGCCTAAAATTCCCCTCAACTATTTGAATTGGTATAAAAGTACCATTCGGCCTCCAAATACCCCTAACGTTAATCTTTTGGCTCAAAAATACCCTCAATATACCTTTGGCACATATTATTAAATATTTATATATTATGTTGTCTAGTCTGATTGGTCAAAATTTAAACTCTTCTCAAGTAAATAATAAAAACTACATATGATTCATATTTTGATCCGATACGCTTGAAAATAATATTCAAAAAGATATTAATTTCATGATATCTTCATTTTAAATCAACCTTCTATTAATTATAACCAAATTCATAAATGAGGATCTAACTAAAATCCATATTCACTCCGTTTGATTGTTAATCTAAAAAAAATATTTTTTTTTATTCATCTGAAATTTTCTATCAATTATCCAATTGTCTTGGTCATCCCCCTCTTTTTTTTTTTAATCTTTGTTTCTTAATTATGATAACAACAATTCAAACTTAAAATAAACTTACATGTTCATATTCTTTTAATTTGTATTATTTTCATCATAGTTGAGGATAGGAAAAGAGGTTATTTTCATTATTTATTTTGAATATTGGGTACACACAAAAAAAAAATTTATAGTATACGTAGATAATTGAACTAATTATTTATAAATGAATGTCCTCGTATTTTTCTCGTTTTATCTCCCTTGTTTAAATTGTCATTAGATGAAAAAAATTAAAATTTAAAAAAGTGGACAAGATCCAAGAAGAAGAAAAAAAAAAGTGGAAGAGAGAGGAAGTTGGAAGGGGGGGGGGGGAGAGAAGGTGAGTGTCAATAGTAGATGATTAAACTTTTTTATTTTAAATTTACTATATAACGCAAAATTAGTTTAATCACATGAACTCATATTTTAGTAATTTCAAATTATTTTAATTGAAAATGGCCTAAAATGCCCTTAAACTATGAGATTTGGTATAAATTTACCCTACATCCATCTTATGAGTGCAGGGGTTGGAAATAAGGATATTTTTTAGTCAAAAGGTTTACATCAGGGGTATTTGGGGGGGAAAAGGTATATGAAGGGTGGTTTTGTACCAATTCAAATAGTTGAAGGGTATTTTAGGCGTTTCTTCATATTTTCTATTTAACAAGCTTCCCGTCTGATAATGGTTCAACCTGAGGGAGGGTCCAGCATCAGAAGAGCACCACATGTCGCATGGAATTTAGTGCTCTCAGTGGCCTTTGAATATCCAGAGAACTTAATGGCGTACACTCATACTCATAATTGCATTAGGTCTTCAAAGTGAACAATCTTTGATTGCTCGATGAAATAATGTAGGTGAGGGAATTCATCAAAATAGATCTTTAATTCAAGGAAATAGATTTACATTGAGAGCTAGGCATAAGGGTCCTAGTCTCAGACCCGTTAGTGGATTGCTCAAGTTGTTTCCGCAGAAAGAGTGGGCCACCACATGCTAGCTGGGAGCCGGGGCATCAAACAACAAACTCAAAACAGGTCCGAACTAGGGATATTCTACTATTATTAAATTAAAATAAAGCATTATAGTGGTCCTAATGGATATCTACACAACATGAATTCTGCTCAATGACATATGAAAGGATTAAGAAGATTCCTACTATCCAGTGAAACCACAGCCAATAAATCAAACTTGGCTGAGTCAGTGGGGAAAGAAGATCATGTGGCAGAACATAATTGTATGTCACATATTTGTTATTGTTTCTATTGCTAGAACGCTTATTGCTAGAGTTTTTAGATACACAAATACATATATTTTATATATCTTTTATAAAAATATATAATATCACTATGTTTTGTATCTTTTTAAAAATACCACTATAAAAAGTAGAGTAGTAAGGGAGCCCAAACCATTACATCACATAATTTTCTCTGATATTTTTCAATATTACAATTCATTTTATAAATAAATTGAGAAGTTCAATAAGCAAGTAAAATCTTGGCACACAAAAAGTGAAAATAAAAGTTACTATTAAAATACTCCTCCTTGTTTAGTCATTGGTCTGTATTCCTTTCCTATTGTCACATGCAACAATACATAAATAGAGCTAAGTCCATTATTATTTATAGAGGACATCAGTTGAAGGAAGTAGCTCCATCAATTTGTTTTAATTTATCCAAATATTTGTGCAAGAAATTTAAATATGGGAGAAGAGAAGGAGGTGATGTCTCATGTTATTTCCAATCCCTCTTTTGAAGTTGAAGTTCCTGAAACTCTTCATCAGATTGGCCAAGGTTTCTCACACACTCTCTCTCTCTCTCCCTTGATAGCTTCTAATCATTTATATATATTCACTTATTTCTTCTAGTTAAGTATTTTTTGTGTTAACTATGCCTATATAAGATTTAAAGTTCAGGAGTTTTTATAACAATTTCAAATGATATATAATAGTAATTAAGTTTGTAATTAAATATTATATTTAATAATTTCTTTAATACTATACAGTATCTTAACAAAAGCTATTGATTCCCACTAACTACAGTCTAGATCTGGCCCGGCATGTTAATTATTACTATAAATTTTTAAAAACAAATAATTAAAGTATGAAACACATAATGCTATTTTCTAAAAACTTGCAATTTGAAAACATGGATATGAGGCTTCCTGCATTCCTGATGTCATCATACAAGGAAATGCTTCCTTTCCTTCTTCCCATATTAAATGTGCACTTTCTATTTTGCACAATAATTATTTTGTCATTTGTCATATAAATGCACATAAAATAAGTTAGAAAAAACATACATAAAGTGTAGGAATAGCTAGTATTGAGAATCGTTCACTTCCAAATGTCATATTAATTATAGGGGTAAAATAAGAAAAATATAATTAATTTTATCTTAAGTTAGTAAGTAATCAAATAATATGGGATAACTATTTATAGTTTATCCCTCCGTCCCATATTAGATGGGCATCTTATTAAAAAAATTGTCTCATATTACTTGATTACTTACTAAATCGAAAAAGAATTAATTTAAAAAAATTCATTTTACCCCTACAATTAATATGTCCTTTAGAAGTTTAAATTTTTTTTAAAAATCCAAAAAAAATAATCAAGAGGCTACTTAATATGAACAAACGGCAAAATAATAAAGTTGATCATCTATTAATAATTTCTTAATTACCGTATAAAACAGAAAATGTTTATCTAATATAGAACTGATAGAGTACAATTTTATCAACCGGAGTCAGGAGAGAATTGAGGAAACTCTTTTGTTTTCCTTTTTAATTGCATAGGTTGGTTGTAATTATAAGTTTTTAACATTTGAAATTTGGGTTAAACCATGGAGAGGGTTTATGGGTGAATTTGTGAAGAAAGAGGATGAAACTGTAATTAGTAAACTACTGCAGTTTTCTGTCTCTTTCAAGTTGAAGATAAAAATGGAGCCCACCTTCCACTTGTTGAGCAATGAAATGCCTCACACAAGAATAAATTGACATGTGAAATGTAAAATAAAATTGCTCGACCGAGGGGGGCTGGGTGCGAATGATTAATCCAATAATCAAGTCAAGAGAAAAATTAATCCACTTATTCAAATAACTGACCGAACCATCCCTTAAATCGTACTAGCGGTGGAATAGTATGGCACGATAGAGTACGGTATTTGAAATTTTTGATATCATAATTTTGATATATAATTTTTAAAATATTATAATATTATCATATCAATTTAATTCGGAATGATTTGGTATATTAAAGTTCGATTTCGATATTTTACGTCTGATAAATCGATAATCATAATTTTTTTAATTTCGACTAATATATACTCATGTAATAGAGTATTAAGACTTTGACAGTTAAAAAAATGTCTCAATTGTATCATACTAACACATTACATATGTAGAAATATATTTATTACATATGTAGAAATATATATATGCAAAATAAAGTGCAAACAACTCATTTTGTTAATCAATTACAATTTAAATACATTTCAATCAAAAAAGAGTACTAGTCAAAATTTTAACTTCTAAACATTTAATTATATATATGTTATTTATGTAACTATATACTTCGGTATGGTATACAGTATTTCGATATGTTATATCGAAATACCAAATACCGTACTGAATACCAAAAAAAATTAAAATGTATATCATATACCACATCAAATACCATAATATCAAAAGTATGGTATTAAAAATTTCAGTATAATATGGTATTTCGGTATATATCATATCATGCCCACCCCTAAATCGTACCATATGTTTGCTCATAGTATAGACTTAACTAATCTAAATTAAAATCAAATAGGACTTTGATGAATTATAATGCACACATCCGCTGTAGATCCTTTTCCTTTTGTTTCCAATTCCATCCTTAGGAGTTGGGGCATTTTTTTCTTTTCTTTTAAGATTAAGTCATTAAGATTAAAATGGTTGAGAAGAAGAAGAAGAAGACAAGGCTAGTCACCGTCGTCGGTGTCGTTGCTTGCTCGGCTTCAAAAAATGATATCGAGATTTGGGCATATGTGATAATGTGAAACGTAGATGTAATGCATGCTGAAGAGACACACTGGTTTGAGATAGAAGTGCTTACGAAACACATTTACTCTCATAGGTCCAAACCAGTGCAACATTTTCTCTTCAGCACACTAGTTTGAAACTGCGGTAGTAGAGCTTATTGCACTTCATCAACTACGAAACGCAGTTGCTCTCGTAGGTTAGAACGTGCCCTTATTAACTTTGAAAAAAATCATGTATATATATTTTGAGAAACTAGGATATAAGTAACAGTATTGCTAGATAGGGAATTCGAATTCATGACCCACTTAAACCACTCAGCTATCACACTCAATTATTGTTAAGAAAATTAAAGTCTAGATATTACCTTAAAAGGCTAAAAATTAATATTATGACAAAGTAAAATTTAAGTATTAGCTTAGAGCTCATATGTGATCTATATATTCATTATTATTCAAACCATTAGTGACCAATTGAATACGACATTATCTATTAATCTTCATTGAAAGTTTCGGTAATGCCTAAATTAAGATAATATTGGTGCAGCTACTGTCTTCATATCCGAGGTTCACATGTGCAATGTTTTGTCTTCACCACACTGATTTGAGACTACGCTAGAAGTGTGTGTTGCACTTATTCAACTGTGAAATGCAGTTGCTTTCGCACGTCCGAATCAGTGCATTATTTTCTAAAGGCATAATATATAAAAGTCAATTTGTTCAACTTTATATAAGTTTAAGTGTCTACTTATGTACACACAAAGTTGGAGGGCATAAATTTGAAATAAAGTCAAGTTAAAAGGGCATATTTATGTATTATGCATTTTCTAAAGAAGTGATTTTGTAGTTGTTGAGTGAGTTCAAAGTTTTGCGAAATTTGAGGTACAACTATTTTGTTGAAGTAAATAGTTATAGATTCCACAACCTCGGTTGCTTGAGGGGTATTGTTGTTTCTTTAATAGTAGTATTTACCATTCTTATATACATTGAATACAAATTTTAGCACTTTATAGCAGACAAGTGACGAGTAATAATTGTGTTTTATGTTTTCCAAAATGTAGATTCATGGTTTCAGGTGGGACTTGTTCTCACGACTACTGTCAATTGTGCGTATGCACTAGGATATGCTGGCACAATCATGGTTCCTCTGGGTTGGATTGGTGGTGTGACTGGTATGGTTTTATCTACAATCATATCATTATATGCCAGTACCCTTATGGCAAAGATCCATCAATATGGAGAAAAAAGGCATATCAGATATAGAGATCTTGCAGGATTTATGTATGGTAAGAAAACAGATTGACGAGTCGACGAGTCGTAGTCACTTTTAACATCTCAAGATTTAGAGTTGTTGTAGTTCAAACTTATATTGGTTGATGCAGGATACAGAGCTTATGTCATTGTTTGGGGATTACAGTATGCAAATCTTTTCTTGATAAATATTGGATTCATCATTTTGGGTGGACAAGCCTTAAAGGTAGGATAATGACTTTTTTTTTAACGCCTCCCTAGAAGCTCCCACCCTGTTTTGCTCCTTTGGTGACTCAAACTCACAACCTTCAAGTTGGAAGTGAGGGGTGTTTACCATCCGAGCAATACCCTCTCATCGGATAATGAGTTAATAATAAGCATAAAGTAGTGTTAACCTTTTTAATGTGAAAGCAAATTTCATATAAAATGAATCTGAAACAGTTTTTATGATTGACAGGCTTTCTATCTTCTCTTTAGGGAGGATCATGAGATGAAGCTTCCATACTTCATCATAATCGCAGGATTAGCGTGCGTGATTTTCGCTGTTTCTGTGCCCCATTTGTCAGCTCTAGGTGTTTGGATGGCAGTTTCCACATTCCTCAGTATAGTGTATTTCTCAATAGCCTTTGCTTTGTGTCTTAAAGATGGTATGCATAATTGATTTAACCGAGTGTGGCCTTCTCTTCTAAAAACTTAACTTGTTAGAGATATGAGTATATCTTTATTTACTTAATTAATTATAAGTATGTATCCCTCTCGACGTGAAATTGCAGGTATTAATGCTCCTCCTAGGGACTATAGCATTCCAGGATCCTCCTCTAGTAGAGCTTTTACAACTATTGGTGCAGCTGCAAGTCTTGTTTTTGTATACAACACAGGAATGATCCCAGAGATCCAGGTATTTACGCTATAAATTCATTCATGAACTTTTATGGAGGTACGATTTACTGATAAATTTCTGCGATGGATCGGACTTAGTAAAATGATGGAAGGAAATTTGAACTATGACCTCTGGCGTTGTTGTCCAATGCAATGAAGATTTTCCAGCTCTTGTAGCTACACTTATTTGTTGATCAATTTCATATGATGATCCTCACATTAATATTGTTAAAATTCAATTATATGACAGGCTACTGTAAGAGCACCTGTTGTTGACAACATGTTGAAAGCCCTGTATTTTCAGTTTACTATAGGAGTTGTGCCGGTGCATGCTGTTACTTACATGGGGTATTGGGCGTATGGATCTAAATCATCATCTTATTTGCTCTACAATGTCAGTGGCCCTGTTTGGCTGAGGGGATTAGCCAACATTGCTGCTTTCTTCCAATCCATCATTACGTTGCACGTAAGTAACTCACAAATTTCACCTTTTATGAACCAAAATAGTAGTTCATGAGACTCAGAAATGACAGCAACTCCGTCACAGAAGAAGGCAATATCACAGATACATTGCTCTCATTCACCGTGATTTGGCTTATGACATACCCCCGAGTAGTGTACCCTCCATTAGCCCCAAGAAGTGTGCCTATTCCTTACCGAACAAATTTCTTGACATATAGTTGATACATATGTCTAATATTTTCTCATATATTAAGCCTGGTATAATATATGCAGATATTTGCAAGTCCAACATACGAGTATTTGGATACTAAATATAGAATAAGTGGAAGTGTATTGGCTTTTCGGAACCTGTCATTCAGAACAGTAGTTAGAGGTGGTTATCTAGCGATTACCATTTTTCTATCTGCTCTGTTACCTTTTCTTGGAGATTTCATGAGCTTCACCGGTGCTATCAGTACAATTCCACTCACATTTATTCTTCCAAATCACATGTACATTGTTGCTATGAGGAAGCAAATTTCGTCATTACAAAAGAGCTGGCACTGGTTCAACATTCTCTTCTTTAGTTGTATAGCTGTTGCTGCATTAGTTGCTTCTGTAAGACTTATTGCCATGGACTCAAAAACTTACCATGCGTTCGCAGATTTATAACTCATTCGAGTTTACCTGGATGAGAATGTCTCTCATGTTTATGTTGTTAGTTGTATTCAAACATTGTAGCTTCTCTATTAGAAATAAGAGATTTATGACTTTCCCCATCAAGTAGTTGGATGTATGCAGTTCTAATTAGTTTTCAGATTGGTAGTGTCATATGTGAAAGGAATGTTGAGAACATTCTATCTAGACTTTTGGACCAAACTGCAGTTCGAATTTAAGCATTTTGGCCCCTCAGCTATTCCCCAGGGCCAAATCATTGAGTATCAATTAAAATGTTTTTGCACTAACATAGGTTGTGGTGGAAGTGTGGAATTGTTCCACTTTTAGCCAGAGGTCTCGGGTTTTCAGTCTTTGATATGAAGAAAATCTTGTTGGAAGCACCACCTTCTGAATGGGCTCTGTATTCTACAATCCAAATTTAGTCGGAGATTCAATGCAAACACCAGACACCGGATAGAAATTTGATTTTTTTTTTTTTGAAGTTGTTATGCTTTGGGAGAGATTGGTGACAACAACGTAATTGCGTGATTTATGGATTTGATATTAATTTTACGCTTATTTTCCTTTTAAGCGCAATAAAAAAGATTTTGTTCCCTTTTTAGCGCAACAGAAGGATAATTTTTGTATCAGAATTAATCTATCCGGATGGTGGCTTATGTATCCCGAAGGTACAAATTTAAGGAATTATTGTAATTAGAAAAAAAGTAGGGAGGATATAATTTACTCTTTACACTATGGGATTTATGTAAGTTATACTATTAGAAATGGTTCAAAAATGTCCTACTTCCACCTATTGGATCAAATTTGCCCCCTCCTTCCACCTATTGGATCAAAATATATTTAACGTATTAAAAATAATTCAAAAATGTCTTTCTTTCCCCTATTAAATCAAAAATGTCATCAACCTATTACAAATGGTTCATATATATCCTTATTAATGATTTCACTGCGTTAATACCAAATATCTTCATTTAGGAGCACCATAAAGAATATGATCGACAAATTCTTCTTCAAAATTGTACCTGGTGGATTAAACTGGCAACACAGCTTGAATTCAAAGAACAAGCTAAACAGAGCTTCCATAGTACAAGAAACTTTTTTCTATTAAAAAAAGAAAAAATTACATATGAAATAAATAGACTAAAACCAAATTAATGATTAAAGAATAAAATATTTTATAATTAACTATGAAAAACTAATATCATATATATATATATATATAAATAATTATAAAACTTATATATAATTATTTAACGATTTGGTTCGATTAATCAAACCAAATCAAATGTCAGTTTTTAAATCGAGGTGGTTTGATTTGTTTTTCTGTTAGCACCAAAAAGGCTAATAATTAATGCATGACTCTTTAATAGGCAAACTTAATATGCCTTAATTGTAAATTAATTAAAACTATGAACGTTTCACGTGAGCAACTACTATATATAATTATTATGGAACGTATTTCACATAATTAAGGGAAAACGAAAGAACAAATGGCTTCTATATTATTCATGGTAGCATTTTTCTTATTTCTCAATATTCCTCAATATCATTGTGCAGGTGAAAATTCAGCAGAAAGCTATCTTGAATCAGCAATAAAACTTGCTTTAAAAAAAACATATCAAGCTGACGATGTTGGAGACTACTATTGTATCGACCAATTCTCAAATGCACAGAGACTTCTTGAAGATGCAATGCGTCAACACAAACAAAACTTCTACAATTCTGTTCTTTCTTTAGCTCATGAAGCCCTAAACTTTGTTAGCAATTGTCATGAAAATCAAGATTTAGAAAATCTTATTAAAATAGCTATGCAACTTGTGAGGATAGAAACCGGATCCCCTATGCCTAGCCAACAATAAAGCGGGTCAATTTCAAATTATATATATACAATAAAAAAAGTCATGTTTTATTTACATAAAAAGAGTCAAACGTCATAGCTGAGTATACAATATAATTTGTCAAAAAGTCATAGAAAATATACATTGATTATACTATATAGCTTAAATATACACTGACTATATATTTTGATACACTCACTAAGTACAATTCACGAATTGATGTGAAGAATATTGAACTGCACATTGCAAATTGAAGAATTGGAACAAATAAACATGCATGCTTAAATATACTAGTTATAATCTGATGGCTGAGATGTAAACTTGATTTAATTTGTGTAAGCATCAGAATGTTTTTCCATTTCTGGATATACAGTTAGTGAAAAGAACTGGCAACCTGAAGATTATATACAAGCGATCTGATCTGGCTCTAAATTGCAGAGGCAGAAAGATGGACCTTACATTTTACGGTTCAACTTTTCGACACAGAGCATACATGTGAATGATTACTAAAATATTGAATTCTGAACCCATATGCGGACCTTAAAAGTTGAACCCGTCAAAATTGTATATGTTCGGTGGATGAGAAGTGATACTCATCATAAACATTTCCATCTGCTTCTGAGAATTTAGCCTATAAGGAATTACGAACTGCTGTCGGGCCTTGGCAATCATCTGCTCTTCTCATGTTTTGGTTTGAGACAAATACAACCAGGGAAAGGATTTGCATAGAAATTTTCCTCCAGTTTAGGTGAATGCCCAACAACTCTAGCATTTGGTGCTCCTGTTCTGTTTACATGTAAGCCCCTAACTTGAGTTGCAAATTCTTTCCAACTTAGCTTCTTGTTGTCCATTCCATCCATAAGTCTAACAAAATTTTGCCTGAAACAAACATGTCAAACAAAACTATTTAACACAAGCATAAAGAAAGTAAATGCTAGAAAAATTGAACATTGATGATGTCTAATACTTACTTGTCCGGATTGATGGTCTTCCAGAAGCCTTGGAATAGGCGATGACCACGAACTGCCTTGGCCATATTCCCATCATAGGTGTATAAGAAAACGTCAGCGTGAAGAGCTAAAATATAATCTAATGCAGCAAGCTGATTATGCCTTTGCATAAAAGGTTTCAACTCTTGCTCTGTTGCCAAATTGGAATGGTAATATACATTTGGATACCTTTCTTGAAGTGCCTTTAATCCATTTTGTCCAAAAATATCTCCCGCGACTATGCAGATTTTAGTGTTTGATGGATATTCCATCGACTCTAGAAAAATGGCAGCCTCTCGAGGTGTCATAGGACATAGCCCCAGAACCCTCTTTTCTGTCCCATTTATCCTTTTCTCTTTCCAATGCTTAGTTTTGTACCTTAATTTTCGAAGCTCCTCTGCTTCCTTTTGTGTAAGATTGTGATTGCAGCCTGTGAAAGCCAGCATATCTTTCTCATATCTGTCATAAATGTATGTAACTTAATTTCTAATTAAAACGATGAAAATTATAGTTTTCGGGTATGTATTTAAGTAATTTGTACCTACCTTAAATGCAGAGCTATATATGGTTCACCATTTTCCTTGAGTCTGTTTACTAACTTTGTTCCAAGTTGTTCAATTTTCTCCGTAAAACGAATGGCTTCATACATGGCATGGCATCGGAGTTTTTGGATTGAATCTGGGATGCCATTGTTAGCGAGCCGCGAATCAGTGTGAGTGAATTCTATTACTTTGTGTCTCTTCAATATCTTCAAAATGTCTCTATTATAGTAACTGGCCTGCACTAAATTAATATGATCAGCCAAAGTAGAAACTCACCATTAATTTGGGGCAAATCTATGTAAATGTCAGATACTCCAAAAGTAGTGTATTTTTGGAGAATCTGACACGGGTGTGGCAACATTTTTGAAGATATATGTATATGAAGAAGCTAAGCATGCCTTTGACCAAGAAACAGGTGCCTTGAGGAAAGGTTTAACATTTGCAACACTTGGAGGAAGAGACTCCAATACTTCAATATCATCTTCCAAAGATTTTCTGAAATGTTGCCAGTCAAAGATATCTTTGAATTCACTGTAAAACAGAATTACGTAATTATTAAAATTGGTGACATTATAAGATGCATTTTAATTATTTTTTTCAACTTTATTTCAAATAATTAAATACCAGGAGAATGAATATGTATATTTATTTGCACCTAGGATCTGTCCAAAAGGATTTGTGATCTAACATAGGAAGAACCAAGCTTGCATTCATAAGTTTTGCTACTGCTACCATATCGCTTATCTGCATCAAAGTTTTAGTAAAATTATGATAAGTAATTATTCATTTTCACATATACAATCGAACTCGAAAAAAAAGAAGGAAAAATTACATAGTACAATTGGTTTAAATTAGAACACTATTAAACAAAAAAAAACTGGTAATTATTAATTAATAAAGTAGCTAGTCTTACCCCGCTTCTCATTTGGTTAAGTCCTCCATTTGCATGAACTAAAATATAACCATTGCTCATACTTTTGCCTCCTGAGAAAAAAAAATGTTTACACTTAATGACAAATTAATACTTATTGCTCCAATTATCAAGTGTTAATTAAGTATACGTACTTGTCTTTATACTTGATCGATCGATGCATTTATAAAACTTATCACTTCCGAGTTTTGCCCAAATTTCACTATTCTGGGAAGATATTATCCAGGAAATTAAACCTATGATTAGTACAATCCAGAACTTAAACCTATAATGTTAGTTAAAATCTTGAATCCACCTCTGACTCGTGACAACAAATTAAAGGGGAGATAAAAAGAAAAGATTGATGAACCTGTGCGTGCATGACATGAGGTGGAAGTTGTAAGAAATCATGATGGGAAGTCATGGTGGCATTAACTCTAAGAAATAAATGTATGAGAATAATCTTCACAAACATGGTGGAAATCATAAGTAACATTAATGCACCAAAAATCCAACGGCTTAGGTATCTTCCTGGTCTCATTAACGAATTAACCGACGACGTTATTCTTCGATGATGATGATGCTGTCCTATATTAACTTTCCCGTTACCATTTTCCTCCACGTATTCAACGGAATCTATCGGTCTCCGACGAGTCGTGATGGTGCCCGTTGCCAATGGGGAATTGCTCATTTTTGTTATGTGTAAAAAATGGAAGAAAAAAAAATGTTAGGGGAAAAAATGGTGATTAGTGGAAGAGAGACATGGTAATGGAGAGGAGAACAATAAGCCTTGAAGGGACGTTAAGGGCTTCATCCTCATTCCCATGTTGTTTAATTAATTAACAATTACTCATCCCATTTTCCACTTTTGTGAAGTAATGGCTCCGCTTTATGAGGCAAAGCACCCAATGTACAAATTATAATTAACCGATATTTACGAATTAATCATGTTGAGTAGTGGATAAGTAGTTTCCTCTATTTGTTTATTATGCAATGTTTTTGGGAAATTAATTAAACGTGTTTATTTTGGCAGAAGAAAAATAAAAGTGTTGTAGTAGTAAGACAACTTGGTTAATTAGAGGTAATTAAGGACAACCTAAACAGTAGCTATGTACATTAATTAGTTTAAGGGAAAATTGTATATAATAGCAAACTATTAATTCAAATTAAATGCTATAAATATAGTTTGATTTAATTGTACCTCATAGCAAACTGTTGCTATTTCACCTCTCTCCTGGTGAATCTCGCTCGCCACTCTCGTTCTCTCCCTCGCCTCTCTCGTTTTTTATACAAACGCAAGTGTATAAAGTGCGTTTGTGTTTGTATAAAGCGAGAGAAAATTGTATATACACATGCAAATACATATAT